GCACATCAGGAACCCCTGTTCTGAACAGTGGGAAACACAAGGTGCTGTGGCCATGCACACCTGCACTTGCTCCTTGCCACCATCCCAGGCACCCCAGACTGCCCACCCACACTCCCTGTGCCCCACACAGCCCCTGCAGACACAAGGACCCCCTTTCCCATGTCAAACCCCAGTGTCAGGATATGGTTAGGGACTGGCCAGACACTCATCCAAGAAGCAGTGCAGTTTATTAGCTCAGTAGCAGTGGAAAGTTTCCAGGCTGGGCAGGATGCTCTGACAGCGAGCCGGGCGGGGAGCAGGGGCTGCACAAGGCTCTCACTGCAACAGGAAAGCAAGGGCAGCTTGAGTAGTACAGCTCCCAGACCCCAAGGGCTGCTTCTGAAGAGGTGTTTCTCTTGAGCCATTTGTCCCCTCCAATGTACCTTGTCCCACCAACATCCCTCCTGAAAGGGCATGTAACCTGCAAGTTTTTGGTTTATTTTCCTTCCACTTGTGGACAGCAGAGGCAAACCTGGCATTTGGTTGGGCAATGGGCAAACAGAATTGATCTCCTCTAAGAGTTTCCTGCCTTTGCCATCAGCCTGCAGCACAGAAGGAGTGGCCACAGCTCATCCCTGTGACAGAGAGCAGAAGGATTTCAGTAGGCCACTTTTTATATGTGTGGTGTAGGATGTTTATTATTTTTAACCAGCTGCCACCTCTGCAAGGGTATCACATTCTGAGTGTCTGACAAGCCCCAGCCCGGCTGGGTGTCTGTGCCAAGGCAAGGGAAAGCCAGTGAGCCTCACTGCATCTCTGGAGTGCAACTGCAACGCCCCGAGAGTCGTGGACAGATGAGGAACAGGATCCAGGCAGGACCTTGCAGGTGTGCCTGCAGGAGGGCAAGCAGCAAACAGCTTCGCTTGGGTACTTTGGGCTTTCTGCTTTCTGCCCCAGTGATCCATGGGGCGCATCTCTGCTCAGAGGCAGGGACCATACAGCATCCATCTGCAAAAATACCCAGCAAACACAATCCCTCGCCCTTCCCCCGGTCTCTGTGAGCAGCATTCATTCCTCGCTCTTGCTGTAGATCCGGCATGCCGAGTCCTTTCTCCCCAAGAGTATTCTCCCTTTACAAAGCAAGATCATAAAGCAGTGACATAATCCAAGCTTGGCAAACACTTCTGCTGATGTTAAGCCAGTGCCTTTCGTGGTTCTCACTGCAGCTTTTGAGGCCATGATATACATGGCGCAACCAGCTGATTAAATGTGCAGCAGCCTCCCAAGATACCATTTCATCCGAAACGCTGACATGTATATTTGACTTCCAATAAGTGTGGGGCTTTTTTTTTTTTTCATTTTTAATTAGTTCTCACAAGGGTGGGAGTCAGACACAGCTACACAATGAAGTTCTCCATAGAATAGGTATGATTCAACCAGATGACTCCTGGCCAGACTTCCTAACCCATCTACCTTGCAGCAGAGCCTCAAAGCCAAATTAATTAGAGGCCACCCACAAGTAGATGTGATTCTGTGTGGGTGAATCTCTTTGCCCATTCATTCCTCACCACATCTGCTGAGATCTCAACATACAACATGCACGCTAAGGGTGAGTGGGAGGGCTCTGGTGCTAAATAAATTACTCGATTCGTTTCGTTTTGGCACTGAAACGCAGCCAGCCAGTGAGGCTGAGTAGTAAACAATAGTAATGTGGGGGGAAAAAAGTAAAAAAAAAAAAAAAGGCAGCATATAAGATGCCTCAATGAAGAGGTGTGATTGTTGGCAAAATGTGTCCTGTTTGAGTTTATGGGATGTACAGAGTCTTTTTATTAGGGATACTTTTTGCTATTAGCGTAATAAAAAAAGGACCAATTGTTTCTGCCATCTGAGAAAACTCTTGGTGGAACAGGCAGAAATCCAGGAATAATTAAGAAAATAATAGCGCACACCCAAGAAGAAAAACATTATTTGTTTAAAGATGAAGTCCCTCCAGAATACTTGGTAGTGATTGCGTTTCTTTCAAAAGGGGGGGAAAAACCCTTCTAAATGAAAAGCAGCAGCCATCAGCTAGTTTCTAAGATCTCGAGTGGAAAAAGTGCAGGGCTGTAAACCCCCTCAGTGGTGAGGCTTTTCCGTTTTCACCGCTCTTATCAGCCTTTGAAAGTTGCAAAATAATAGTGTTTTGCCCCTACATGTTTCCATCAGAGGATCAGAAGCACTTCACAAAGCAGAATTAATTGAGCTTCACTGCTCACCTGTGAGAACAGAGCAATTATTTAGCAACAGGGTTTGGGGTTTTTTTCTGTTTGGGGTGGAGGTAGAAATAAAAACTGCAAGATTACAAACCCACCAAGCCAACAAGAGACTTGGCAGCTTTGCCCATTTCCAGCAATGAATGTGACAAACCTGGAAGTTTTTGACCACCAGATCTGGGTTCTCCCTTTGAAAAGGATCACTTTGCCCCAGTATCACCTTCCCTAGGCCTCACCTTGCCAGACTCCCCACCAGCACAAATCACCATCCTCCCAAGCTCTGACTCTTCAAATTTAAAAGTCTTCAGAAAACCGTGTCTCCAAACCGCCCATCTTTCCCATAAGTGTCGTGGTGCCATCCCACACCTGGGATGTGAGATGTGGGCTCTGAAATCCTGCTCCCATCGCTCCTGTGTGACTCTGGGCAGGTTATAACACAGGGGAACCATCTGCTGAGCCTGTGGGTCGGGGAAAGGAGGGCTGCGAATCTGTGTTTGTGGAGAATTTCATATCACAGTAATGGAGGGAAAAAGAACAACTCGAAGTCTGATGTGTGAGTAGTGCATGGGCAGAGCCACACACTGCGTAACAAGACATCAACTTTTACCCAAGTAGGGCTGGGAAAGCATCATCCCTGCTCCGGGTGGGTTACAAGAGGCCATAAACCGCGGAGGGAAGAGCAGCGGAACGAGCCGCTTTGCACGACAGGCGAAGCCGCGCTTCCCCGCCGCTCCCGTGCAGCTCTTGCGGTTTATACATATTTGTTTACTTTTTTCCCAAACCGAGGGTTTGTTCCCCGCACGCAGCTTTCGGCAGCGGCCGTCCCGGCTCACGGCACCGGACCGGGGGCAGGTGAACCCAGCCCCTTGCCGGCCGGTCCCGCGCGGGTCCGCGCAATCCCGCCGGGGCGGTACAGGCGGAGCATCGCCCGCCCCGCCGCGCGCCCCGCGCCGCGCCCACCCGCCGGCCTGCCCCGCCGGGCGTGCTGCGCGCCCCCGCTTCCCAAAGCAGCCCTTGGCAGCCCGCCTACAATGAAATTTGCGGAAAGATTTTTCGTTCGCGTCCCATTTTCGAGTGGAGCCGGGAGGTGAGGAAGGGAGGGCGCCGGGGCGGCGGGCCGGGGCGCCGCGGGGGCCGACCGCCGCCCCCGTTCCCTGTGCCGCCGCGGGCGGGAACGGCTCCCGGCCCGGCCGGCCCGCACGGGAGGGCCACGTGCGGGCGGGGGGGCGGCGGGACGGGACGGACGGGATGGGAGACTGGGGGGGAAGGACGGAACACTGGGCGCCAGCCTCTCCGCCCTCCTGCCCGTGGGGGTTCGCGGCCGCTCCCCTGCGGGGGACGGGGTGGGCACGGCCGGCGGAACTTTTTTTTTTTTTGGGGGGGGGAAAAGAAGTTTTAAAAAAAAAAAACCAAAAAAAACATTAAAAGAAAACTATAAAAAATAACTTTTCGGCGGGGGGTGCGGGGACGCGGCGGGTAACCGAACAGCGCCCCCTCCCCCCGGGGAGGCCGGCCCGCTCGCAAAAGGCGGTCCCGGGCTCGGGGGCCGTGACGCGGCGGCGTGACGGGGAGCCGCGGGGGGGGCCGGGGGGCGGCGCGCTGGCCCCCGAGCCCCCGGACCGTATGCGGGAAGCGGGGCCGTCCACCACGTGGGGTGCCCCGACGGCCCCCCGCCCCACACCACCCCCCGGGGCCTTCCTCCTCCTTCTTTTTCTTGTTTTTTTTTTTTTTTTTAAATGAAATAATTTTTTTTTAATCTTTTTCTCTGCGCCGCGGGAGGCCCGCGCCGCGCCCCCCGCAGGGTGTGGCTCGGGTGATCTTTTTTTTTTTTTTTTTTGCCCGTTCCCTCCTTTTTTTAAAGCAAACGCGGCGACCCACGGGGCTGCCGGCCCCGCCCGCCCCCCACCGCCCCCGCGCGTAGGGAAAAGTTTTATACATTAACAAAAAGATACTGGTATAACCAAAGAATAATTCGCCGAAATAATTTAAAATATTTTAAAAAAAATTGGCAGCCAGCTTTTGCTATATTTTTTTTTCCTTTTCCCCTCGCTGGTTACTCGCTTTGTACAGGAAATTTGAATATCCTGGCAAGGTCCGGCTTCCCCGGGCAGCCTCGCAGCACTCCGGGAGCTGCAGTGATGGAGCAACGTGTGCAGCACTGGGGCTTTTCCCTCTCGAATTGATCCTAAATACAGTATTTTTCCCAACTATGCGTCAGGTACATAAAGACAATTTTTTTGCTTTTGGAGAGCTAATTTTCCAAGGTTAAAACATTAATTGGTGTCCCACCCCCCCAAAAAAAAGAAATTCTGCTTGTATGTTGTGTGTGTGTTACGTGTAGGTGAGGGACCATCTGCCAAGTTTCATCATCTTCTGCTCTGAAGAAATCCAAAGAACTCACCGGCAACTGTGAAAGTCTGTATTTAGTTAATCCACTTTAGTGGGAAATAACAGTAAAATTTTGCTGCTAATGCAGTAAACATTTATGAAATGTAAGAGAGAAGCTTTAAGTAATGCTTCAGGCAAACTGACCCAAATCTAAAAAAAGTAAAATCAAAGTGCTCTTGTTATGTTTTGAATTACTGTTCCATCTGACCAAAAAAAAAAAATTAGTTTTTTGTTTGAGTTTTATTTTTTCCTGTGCTTAACAAATAAACTTTATAGGAATCGGGCTTCCAGATCTGTCCCTTGTTGTTTAAAACTGGATGAGATGACAATGCAAAAAAATGGAAGTAACAAGAAGCATCATACTTGTCTTCTCCTCAGCAGTGTTGAGAAAAAACTGTGGATCCTGGAATTTTGCTGTGGATTTTACTGGTTTTCTGAAGTACTGTAAGTTGAAGTCTTGTCCCGCAGGCCCTCGCGAGCACCAGTAGCTCCTCGCCAGAACAACACCCTCGCCCTGGTGAATACAGCTGATCCTGCTGGTAACAGTGTCGGGGTCGAGTTTCACAGGGGGTGAAGTTAACGAATTAATTTTTTGCGTTGTTTGAATTCGCCCTTTGTAGCTGCAGTTTGGTTTTGGGCGTTCGGCCCCACCTAAGAGCGTGTGTGGTTTAGCGCGCGGGAGGTGCGCCGTGCTGGGTTTTACGTGAACCACTTGCTGCTTCTCCGGCCTTTTTTTTTTTTATGGTTAAATTAGCGAGGAGAAGAATTATTTTTTAATCGAGCGCGTGGGAAGTTATTCGCTCCCGCACGGCTTCGACCGTGGCAAACGGGGAGGGGAAAAAAACCCATATTTTCTGCATTTATTTTGTGCCGCCGGGAGTGAGTCTTAGCTGGGTAGGACACGTGTGAGGGCGATTTCGGTGCGATGTGAGCGCCGGGGAGATGCGCTGGAGGTGCCGCACAAATGAAAGTAACTCGGCCGTGTGCGGTTCCCACGTCTGGCTGCTCGTGCTCTCTCACAGCCACCTCTCTTCCCGCAGCCCTCGCTCGCCTTCGGCAGCCTGTCGGGGCTAGTCCTGTCGGGAATGGAGTAGCTGGAAGCATGTGGTGGTTGTCGATCAAGCATCGGGTCTGATCCCTGCTGTTGGCCACATCTGTAAATATTAGGACGTGACTTCTGTTTAAATTTTGCCGTTCAAAGGGAGGCAGGAACGAAGGTGGTGGGGTTTTTTTTCAGAGCCAGGCAGATATGAAGTGTTTTGGTGGTGTTACTCACGCCCTTATTTTCGTTTTGTCACCGTAGTTTTGTCTCGCTAATGAGCGTCTGGGACCTTCAGCTGTAATGAGATGATTTATTTTAGCCTTTTCTGTAAAATAGTAAATGCCTTTTTTAATTGTTTCAAGTGAGAACAATGACTTCAGGATTTGTTTGTGCATGTCTCCTGGAAAACTGTTCGATAGCAGAGTTGGGGTTTTTGTTCCTGTTTTTTTATAGAAAGGAAATGCTGAATATTTACTTGTCTTTGAGCTCACCTAGCCCTGCAGTGTGTGGGTCAGTAAAGGCTCTGTATGCAAATCTGTCCTGTCATGGGCTCCTGTATTTATTTCCTTTCCTTTCCCAGGGTGCTCCTTCTCACATTTTTTTTTCCTTCTCTTTTTTTTTCTGGTTACAGTGTCAGTGAGGAGGGATGAGGTTGTATTTTAAGGGAATCCTGTATTTCAGGGGGAATTTGTTTTGGTTTTGTGCGTGTGTTTGTGACTGGAGCGAGGCGGGGGGGGCGGGTGTTTTTTGCTTAATTGCCCAATATACTTTGGCAAGCAGAAGTTGCATTGTTTTGTGGACTGCATTAATGGATTTCTGCATGTTCAAATTCCCCAGTTATTTGGGGGATTTAATTAAACCTCTGTAGGCAGCTGGCTCATGGAGATGACAGGTAGAAGTTTCTATTTCTAGAAATAGCTGGTGTACACACTGCGAGTGTGGAGCTTGTGGCAGCACAAGGGCTGTTGTGAAGCTTTTGCATTGAGGTGGAGCTTTTGGGGCAGTTCTCATGTTTGGGGCTACCAGTACAGTGGGACACCCCCATTCCTGACCATGGTGGGACGCTGCTCCAGGGTTGGGGGTGCTCCTGGGTGCTGCCTCCCTGTGACAGCAAGGGGCTGAGCACCCAATAGTGCCACCACAAAAGCCCCAACACCCAGACAGCCTCTGTGCATCTTACCTGCTTGTCCTAGGCCTGGACCTAAACCAGCACAAATAAGATGTTTCCTTTGCTTCTCGTCTGCCAGGACCAATAGGTAGTTCTTGCTGCTGCTGTTTTAACCCTTCAGGGAGGGGAGGTGGGCTTGCTGCCAGCCATGGTTGTGCCCAGTGCTTTTCCACCCACCCCAGAGCTGCCGCTGTTTTTGTGTGGCTCATCCCTCCTTGATACAGAGGGTTATGATTCAGGGTTAGCAGCGTGCCTTGGGTACCACTGCCTGGAGTCACCCAGTGGTGCCAGTGGTGCTGGTAGCCCTGGCTGCAGGAATGGGGAGAACAGGGAGAAGAGGGATGCAATCACTCTTTAAGTTCTGCTTCATTGTCTGCCCTCTCTGGAGCTGAAAACTTGATTATTTTTAATTTTTCCCCTGATTTTAAAAATAATTGTGCCCATCTGAGCCTTTGTGGTATGTGTGTCCCTGGGGAGGGGACCTGCCCCACAGCCCCAGTCCCCCCTCCTGCAGTGTGGCGGTGCCTCTGCCAGCGCCTCGTAAACCCTTCTGTGTGTTGCTTTGTAGCTCCCACTGAAGCAGCAGTTGCCTGATTGTGTCCATGGAGTCAGTGCAGGAGGAGCTGATGTGCCTGCGTTCAGAGGTGAGTTGGGAAGGTAAGTTTGTGTGTCCCACCTGCTCCGAAATACCTGCGGCATCTGCATCCCTCTGGGTAAGCCCAGCGTCCTCTGAAATCCGTATCCCTTCTTGAGCACTGCAGGTAATGCCTTGGAGAGGTTGAGATGAGATCGAATCATCCTGTTCAGCTGCCCATTTCTGATTGAAAGTTGAGATTCCGTAGCACAAACTGAGTTTGAAGCGTGAGATGGGATGATCCAAACGCAGAACTTTCTATTGCTTAAGATAATAACACTGTCATGTCATAAACACACATATTTTCTCAGATATTTCACTGCTATCCCAAATTTCCACTTGCCCAATACTCAGTGTGAATAATTTTTCCCTCTGTGCTAGAGGCTGGCGGAGGTGTACTGAGCCCTTGCTTTGGAAAGTCCTTGCTGAAGTCAGCTGTTGCCCTCTTTGTTGAACTAGGCAAAAGTTTGGTTTATATATATATAAAAACATTAATTAAAACATGAACCTCAAACACCATCAAAATGGATTCTAGAGCTAAGTGTGTTTGCTGTTGCTTTTTTCTTTTGGAGTCACTTGAAGAGATGAAAGAAATAAGACTGCACAGGTACAGTCAAGTAAAACACTGTTACAGAAATAATTAATGGTAAAATTATGTGGAGGGTGGTTTTGATTTAGCTCGTACGGGTTTAACACTGGATACGTGTTGGCTTTGCAGTAAGGAGCAGTTGCTCATTAGGGAGTTGGCCCTGGTGGTGTCAATGTTGAGGACACTGAAGGGGTGAAAATACTGCTTTTTCTGTTGGCAAATATTTGATTTAAAATTTGCAATCGTCTGGCACGGGTCACAAGAGCTTTTGAAATTCCTGTTTTTGAGTTTGCTGAGGAGGCAGGGACTCGGAGGAGGCCGGGCTGGAACCCGGCGGCTCCTCGGGCACAAGGGGATGGCACAAGAATTCGAACCAACAGCGTCATTTCTGACATTGTTCACTGATGCTGCTTTTTAAGAAAATGAATTGAAGGAAGTTGTCACATAACTGGGACAAAAAAAAAAAAAAAGGTTGAAAGGAAACACAAAAAATGTCAGTCTGTCTGCACTGCTCCTGTGCAGCCCTCGCAGGCCGGTGTGTGAGTGCTGCTGGCAGCTGCAGGGCTGCAGCCTCTGTCTGCCCTACACTGGTACTTTCTGCTCTGGTGCAGGGCAGGGAAGGTAGTGAAGTTCCAGAGATCTTTAATTTCTGGTCACATAAGCTTTGTCCATTCAAATAGAAAAATAAACATAATCTAGTCTTTTTAAAAATAAAGGGATTTTTTTAGATTTCTCACAAGTCAGACTGAGCTGAATAAAAGTATTTTAAGGAAAACTTAACAGGTTTGAACTGTTGGAATCTGGATTTATTTGTCTGAAATATTAACGTTGAGACATCTGGAAAAGCCTTGGTGTTCAGCAGCCCCTAGGAGGAAAGTTCAAGGTTACATTTCCCCACAGACCATTTGGAAGGGCTGGGAAGGTCTGCAGGCTCTCTGCAGTAGAAAAACCAGGAGAGATCTGCAGGATCTGGAAGTGTATATTTGTTGGGACTGAGATACTACATGTTCTTTGGGTCTGAGTGGAATAGTTAATTTTATTTCCGATTTTGTTTCTGAAACTGGTTTGTTTGCACTGTGTAACTGCTTGTTCTCTTATAGTTACAGACTGTCTGGTAGCACCCCTGAAGAAAAAAACCCTGTCCTGTGGTGGTAATGCATGCATGTTAAACGACTTCATTGTAGAGTGTTCTTCAGTTCCTTTTATCATGGTTTAAAAAAAAATTATATATATATATATATTTTCAAAATACCATTTGGAATGTCAACATTCAGTGGGCTTTGAGGAGATGTAGCAGCACATCATGGTTTGTAGGGACAAGGAGATACAGACCATTCTGGGCTGCCTCATTACCTCAAGGATAAGACAAGAAAGTGAGCTTCTGGTTATCATAGATGTGGAAGCTAAAACATTCCCATGTATCCCTTTAGTTCAGTTGGACAGATGTGTGTAGACACGTTCTCTTGGTGCTGGTGTCTGTGCACATCCTTTGCAGCTGCAGATACATTCCCTCTGAGTCTGTGTGTGTGTCTCAGCAGGGCTGCAGGAAGGACTCATAGCTCCTTTTTGTTCTCCAGCATGGGCATGACCTGTGTTGGCTTGAGCTTCATATGTACTATATACCCCTCACCTATGGCTCTTTCATCCTTTTGCTGGCAAAGGATTGGCCAAGGTACCCTTGCCCTGTGTTTGGGGCAGAAAAGGGGGGTCTGGAGGCCGTGGAGAGCTGTCAGCAGTGCTCTAGCAGCACGTAAATACTGGAGTTTGGGATTGCCTGTTGCTCTCCAGTATTGCATTGCTGCTTTAGTGAGGCTGGAAATTGGTCCCTGCTGCAGGAGCCGGGGCTCTGGCCCTGGGAGTACCTCCTTGGCACCCCCACGGTGCCCCCACACTGCTGGGGGGCTCTTGTCTCCCACTCCAATAAACCACTGCGGAGGCAGCAACCAACGAGGGCTTGGTGTCGTTAATGGGGGGGGGCTGCACCCCAACACTGCTGGGGGTACTCAGTGCCCGTGCCCAGGGTGGATGGAGCAGAGGGCACTGCCACAGACATGGAGATGGCAACAAGCCCTTCCCTGGCGGGTGTGAGGAGGGAGTGGGAGGGGGGCAAGTCCTCAGTGGCAGGGGGGACAAGGGGCACTGCTGGCCCCTGGCTGCACCCTGCCTCCAGCAGCTGGGAAGGAGGGGTGTGTGGGAGAGAGTTGGGGGTTGCAAGGGCTGGTGAGGACCAGAGCAGGAGGAGGGATCCTCTAGTTGTGCCTGAGGTGCTCCTGAAGAAGCCGTGCTCTGTGAGGGATCATTCTCTGAACCCCTGAAGCTGCCCCAGGCAGTGTTGGGGTACCCCAGCTCAGGCACAGCCTGATTGGGGGGGGACCTGGGGCCAGGGGGGGGGAAGAGTTTGGAGGGGGCTGGAGCAGCTGATGGGAATTTGTCCACAGACCCACTGCAGCAGTGACTCCAGAGCCAGATGAGCCCCAAGATGAAAGGGTTTTCCTTAACACTACTTGAGGCTTCCCAACCCTGGTGGAATAGATAGAGGGACCACTGGGGAGGCAGGGATGCTCCTGGGAAGGGCTGGGATGATCCCTTCCTGGTCAAGGTTCATCCTTTGTGGTGGGAATGAGCTTGTCTGTCCTGCCAATGAAGGTGCCTTGTTAATAGCCCCAGTCTGGCAGCCTCCTGTTGAACACTGGCGGTTGTGAATTCTGGAACATTTTTTCAGTTATTTTAGGGCATTACTAAGTCATGGTCAATAGTTCTTGGGCAGGGGGTGGTGGGGGAAACTCCTTGCTGGTTTACAGCTTAAATCACAGCTTCTGCTCTGCATAGTGAATGTCAGTACTGACAAAGGATTGGTAAAAGGCACTGCCAGCAAACTGTTTCTGGCACAGGGAGGTGCAAGAGGGGGGTGTGTGTATGGGTAGGAGCAGCTTTTAAAAGCCTCTGCCTACAAAGGGGTCAAAGTCATAATGTTTGGACACACAACCAATGCATTTTGAGCTAGACATTGGTATTTTTCCATTTGTGTCTGTAAAATGGTTCATTCCCACTTTCTACAAGTCAAGCCCTTAATTGCCATATAACATTACTACCTTCCCTCAGGAAAATTAATGAGTTACTTGATTAACAGGGAAATTGGTCAATAAAGTGATTATTTGTGTACTTCTATACTTTATTAATTTTGCATCAGATTTTTTTTTTAGGAAGGTTTCTGTTGTTAACGTTTACAGGTGAAGTGTAAGAGTTAAAAATCAGGTTTAATTCTTCTTTTTAGCCCTTTCTGTTATGGTCAGTTTGATTTCACTGAGCTAGAAAAAGAGATTTCCACCTTGTTCACAGATAAAAGATGCCTGCTAAAACTGCTCTCAGGCTACAGTCTCCTGCCAGAATCAAAACGATGGTAAGTAGAGAGTAAAAGCGCTGTGGAGTTTTCGGAGCAGCGGGCAAGAATAAAATTTAGAGGCTAAAAGAAGCCAATAAGATCCCAGGGGAGACGGAAAAGTGCGCCCAGGGCGGTGGCTTTTCAGTGGGTGAGCAGCACAGGCTGTGGGAGCGGTCCCCGGTGACTCCCGGCCGGGGATGGATGTTCCGTAACCGGGGCACGGGGATGTCGGGAGCGAGGGCGGAGGGCGCGGGACGGGGCTCTGTGTCCGTCTGATGGGCAGCGCCGGCTCCCAGGACATGGTAAGCGTGTCTCTGCCACACATATTTCAGGATATTGCCAATTATTAATAGGGAGAGCGCGGGGGCGAGGCAGGCATCCAGCTTCGCTTTTCTCTCTGAGAAGCTGGGGAAGCTCCCATCTGGTTTTTTTTGCCTGAAACATAGAAGTTTACCTCCGACGTGAGCGCAGGTTGACTTCCTTACTGCAATTGAGCACAAACCACTTGGAAAAAAGCAACAAACACCTTTGCAGAGCATCCCTGGGCTGATCAGCTTCCCCCGCAGGCAACGCCTTGCCGGGGCAGCCACGCAGAGGGGCAGCAGCACATGCAAAGCAGCTTGGGCAGGCTTTTCCGTTTGTATAGATAAAGCAAGATTTTTATTTTTTTTTTGTCTAAATGTGAAGTCTGCTGCATGAGGAATACGTGTGACCACTGTGGAAGAAAAGTCTTTGAGCTTCCTCAGTAGTTTTCGGTGTGATTTTATAAAGCTGGAAGGCAGCGGTTCCCCGTGGTAGGTAAATACGTGCAGCACATCATCACACCACTGAGTGGCTGCTGGGCTTAGAAGACAGGCGTTAGACAAGCCTCTAATTCGCACGTTTCTACGCCAATATTTTTTATTATTATTATTTCCCCCGGACCGAAACTCTCCCACATACTGAGGCTGAGGTTGTGTTACTCTGCTCACAGTACCAGGTACATCCATTAGAGAGGTGGTGGTGTGGGAGCCAAATGAGGTGTTGCAGATTCCTGTAAACACTAAAAAAGCAATGCAAAAAGCCACCTTATCTACCTTCAGCATTTTCCTGCTCACCTCCTTTGATGCAGAAAGAATTTTTGGCAAGGGTTGGCAGCTCATTGTGGTATCCAGCATTATCTTGCTTTCCTTGCATTTCTTGCCCACCCACCTCATCTGCTTTTCCTCAGCTCACATCCAGTGTTAGGAGCCAGGACTGACTTTGGTAGGTGTTTGTGCAGTGCCTTGCACAACAGCAACTCCCCGTGCCTGGTGTTAATGACTTCAGGTCTTGCCCTTTGCACTGGAGACCTTTTATATGTCTTGCTCTCTTTTATCAAGGGTAATTCTGACTAGGTCAGGTGACTCTAGCTGGGTACCCAGCTGTGCAGCTGCCCTCAGTGGGGAGCTGCACGAAGGATAAAACCTTCTCAGGTTAAATTAGACATGACAGGTATCACCCACTTGGCAAAGTGGAAGCCACTGAGGGTTTGCTGAAGTGACAGTGATGACCAGTGCAAACAATAGCACTGGTGCCCTGATGACACGTGGTTCCTGGCAACAAACTCACCAAATGGAAGAAAAATAGAAATTCAAGTGTTTTCATTTCTGAAGCAAAGTGTAAGACATTGCTCTAAGCAATTTCTCACGTAAACCCATCCTTGTGTGCTGTAACAGGATATTGAAGGTTACTCAAACTATGACTCAAGTAGAGCATATATTCATTTATAAACTATCCAGAGTGAGTTCTCATGCCATATGGTCTGTGAGAGAATACAGCCTTTCCCTCATACTGAAAAGAAATTATTTGAGTGTGCACATCTGCCAGGTAAGGTCTGATGGCTGTGAAGGGACTGGGGTGTGTGGAAAATGCAGCTCAGCCAAGGGGTAGTTGTGGTTATGCTGTACTAGAAAGCACAGGGTGGTTTTCTAATTGCAAGTGTAAGGAGCTTACACCACAAAGGATATTTCTACCCCATACTTTTTGTATTTTCTGATTGCTACAGGGTACTTTCCGTTTTGTGAATGCAAGAGAAAAAATTGTCACGAAGAGAAATTGAGGAGCAAAGACCTGATAAAGGCACTGCAACGAACATTTAGAAACTCGCACATACACACACACCCCTCCTCCCTGCCTGAGGGCTGGCTTAGTCACGTCCCAGTTCCTCAGATGGAAAATAGGCAAGTGAAGCATCAGCATCGGCATCACTGCTCTGGCACTTCCCGGGCCCACAGGTTGTCCAGGGGAAAGCACAGGAAAGGCAATGTGTTTCATCGATAACCAGACAGTCTGTTCCCAGAGGGATTTACTCACTCTCCGAAATGCAGGACAGCCAAGCCAACGCCCGTGCTCAAGCCAGCTCTGCCCCTCAGGCTGCACTGCCGAGCTCACAGTGGCACATCGAGGGCTCCAGGAGCAAATCCAGCCCCACCCCACCATCCACACACTCTCCCATGCAGAACCAATGGGGAGACAAGGGGTTTCCAGTGGCAGGGTTGGAACAGGTGAACTAAATAGGGTGATTTCGCTGCCATAAATAGCAAAATATTGTGGGAGATGTAAGTTTTTGTCTAGGCCTCTTCCAAAAGCAATCCAGTGGCATTCCTGCTGGTGCTCCTGAGATCTCAGGATCGTAAAGTGGGCATGGATGAGCTACCCAGCTCCAAGAAGCCACCTAACAGGGACTGGAGTTGGAAATAGCTGGTTCCTTATTTAGTAGCTGGCTCCTTATTTATACATGCAGACAGTCTCTACTGGGGTATTTTCCTGACTGTTTTTGTGAAGGGCCAGGGTGAGGAATCACTACCTGTAGCAGGGCACAGACTGTCTGGGACCACCCCCCCCACACCCCTAATGCCAGCACCTCAATTTGCCACAGGCAACTTGGAGATATGCAGAAGACACATGAGAGTTTGTTCCCTTTCTGGTTGTAGTGGGGGAAAAACAAAGATGCCACTAATAAACACCTGTTAGATAAACACCAGCCTCTTACTGGAACAGGTTCATCCACCTGCAGCTTGATTTACTCACCATCACAAGCCTGTCTCTCCTACCTGGTTCCACAGAGATTTCCACCTTCCAAGACGAAGTTTCCATTCACCAGTTGTTTTAGTGGAGCAGCACAGCCTGGAGCAGATGTGTCATTCAAATGTATCCCCAACAAACACCTTTGCACCAGCCTTTTATCCCCTAGCAGTTGCTATCCTGATCCCTTCCTCAGCTCCCCTAGGGATGAAAACCCTCACAGCCAGCTCTTAGATCATGTTCAGTCTTTGTGCTTTTCTACCCTCTTTACCTTGGTGCCTGCAGTGACATGAGCTCACTGGGTACTGGCATCTCTACAGAGCTGGGAAGCGACTTCCCCATCAAACTACATCCACTTGGGAAATTAAATTCATTTAAAGTCATTAAACAATACCAAAAGAAAAAAAAAAGAAAGAAAGAAAGAGAAAGAACAAAAAAATAGACTACTGTGATGTCTCAGCTTATAAAGGTGCTTGCAGCCAAGATCTGATCTTGCAAGGTGCAACCTGCAGGGGAACTAAAGGCAGTCAGGCACAGCAGACAGTCCTTTAATGAGTTGTAACCAGCTCCCCGTAAGCAGTGTCAGCTCCTCACTGCTGGATTAGTGCACGCTTGACAGGATTTGCAGAGCATAACAGACAATGAAACACCACCAACATTTAATCAGTCAGGATATACAATTACAAGGCAGCTCAAGGATGCTTATTTGCCTCAATTTTCAAAACCAGAACTGCCAAAAAAAACACCCAAAAACAAGTGAACTGCCAGCTCAGTTCACAGAAAGATTTTTCATCACATCTGTCTGTGGCAGGCGAGAGTTACCAAAATGTACAGAAATGCCAGATGTCACAGGCAGAGATGGTATGGCAAAGCCTATAAATAGTCAGAATTATTTTTTCAGCATACATTTGTGATTCATAAAATGTGGAACTATAATGAATTTCAAATGCCACATAAATGTTCAAATACAAGATATTCCTCTGTGCTTTCCTAATGCTTTAACATTATATGTCTGGGTTGTATAAAGCTGACATTTAACTTGCAAAGGTGTTACTAAACCCCTAGTCTTTTAACCAAAATGACTGAATAAAAGTAACAATTATGTTTTCAACTCTTTTCACCTGAGGATTTATCTCCCTGTAGCGCACACACAGGTGCTGTGAAAGGCTACATTAGTTAGAACTGTTCTAGAAGGGTGGAGTGGGTAACTTTTTCTCTGAATAATTTTCATAGAGAACAACATCTGACAAACACCTGTGTGAAGGAAGTGAAACAGTGCCTGTTCCCCAAAAGTTGAAATGTAAGATTTTTTTTTTTTTTTTTTAATATTGCCCTTTTCCATCAGACACAGGTGAGGTTTGTTAGAGGGCAGACCTGGGCTCCTGCAGCATCGCCCCCAGGGTCAGTGTGGCTCAAGAGTATCTTCCCAAACCTCTTCTGTGACCACACAGTCCATGCAGTTCCATCCCCTACTCCCAACAGACCAGGAATTTCCCCACTCCAGCTATGGTTCGAAAGATAAACCCCTTGTTATGACTAATTCAAACTCTCCTCCCTTTCCCAAATCACAGCATGTAAATAACCATCTTAACCATGATAGGAAAACATTTCAGGAGCAACTAATTGAAGAGTTAAGTCCTAAAAAATATTGAACATCATCAATACTCCTTGTTTTCATGAGTAAATACATACTTTTAAGCCACCTAGTATACTCTCTAGATGCCAGGAAGTTATTTTAAAACACATTATGAAGTGGGAATTACTAAGGTCGAAGAAAACACTGTTTTTTTAAGATTAGACCTTAAGTTCAACCAGAACTAATGAAAACTTGAGTAGATACAATAATTTTCAAGTGGGTTTATATTTTCTCGTGTTGCTTTTGTGTTTCCTCTTCTTGGAGAAGCATTGCACATTTTTGCAACAAGTCACAGGCTCTTGAAAAGGCAGATACACAAACTTTGAGAAATACAATCAGACTTTGTAGTGCATTGAGATAAAAGCTCTTTGGAACATTACCCAGAACATTGCAAAAGTACAGTATAATCATGACCAGCGTTCTAACACTTGTAATGAGAATTCTGACTTACAAATAGATCTCTCATACAATGTGGTCATTTGATGTGGATGACAGTGTGTGAATTCATATTTTAGGTCTGCTATTAACTACTGCAGCTGTACCTGAGCAGGCCATGGATGGGCAACAGTGTGAAGCACTTGGGAAAGACTCAAACGCCGAAACCACAGAAAAATCTTTCAAAACAGAATCTTTCAAAAACTCTGTTGTGTGTAAGCACTGAGCAGCGTAAAATCCGAGGATATGGTGGGAGAATCCACGTGCAGAAGAACGAGACCCAAAAAGCACGGCACAAATACAGGTGTGAGCTGGGCTGCCGAGGCCAGAACTGAACTCCACACAAACAGAAGTGTTGGTGAAACAAACCAAAATGATTACTTACAAAATGGTTGTGGTTTGTTGTTTTTTTTTTCCACATGGATATGTTTAATGAACATGGAACCTCCACTCTTCATTTTTGCCAAGACAGAACAAAGATCAGTGCTTAAACCATATTCTCTGAAATCTAGTTTGATTAGAAAATATGCAACTGTTTCAATATCTTCCCTCAGCACTTTATCATCTCTATCATAGACAGGATTATGTTAACCAGAAGCTCTACAAAGGTAACAAATGTTGAGTCTGCCTCCACTGTCACAAACACTTATGGGCAATATTACTGAGAAGGAAATTTCAAGAGCACTTTAATATACAGAATGAGTGGGATAGATGTGTGGGGCTTATTTTAAAGAGACAGCCTTTATTTAAAGAATTTTGCTTTGTAGATCTTGTAAAGTAAACATTACAATACTTTTTTTTTCCACAAATATATTAAAATTGTTTAAATTTAAAAGGCAATTCCACAGACTGATGGATATTTTTAAAGAAAAAAAATCTAACAGAAATAGGCAACTCAACTAAAACTAGATTTTAAACATTCTGTTTTGTCATTCCATCTTTTTAAAAAAAAAGAAAAAAAGGAAAAAGACATTTTTTCCACGCAGACTTCCTTTACAGCAATAAGGCAACTCCCGGAGATTTGAATGAGCTCCTTGGAGATTACAGATACTGTAACTGGCTGTTCCTCATGCTTTATAACACCCAAAGGTGCAACTATCCATTAATCACAATCACATCTGTGCATTAAAATATAAAACTTAAATTACAGATTTTAAAAATATTACTAATAGACTTCCCTATCATAAAATGTTTTACATTTACAGTACTTGAACTATTTCAGTTCTGGGTTGATGAGGTTTAAGCAATTTACCACTGCAAGAGTTAGACTCTGGAGCTCACAAACAGCACAACCCAACCAGGGGCAGCGATAGTCGGTAGAGTCATAGTGCAAATCAAAATAAGGAGTGCAGAACTGCACTAGTTGTTTACATTTCTAAAATATAAATGAACAAGACGAGCTCTTATATTGTACATGCAATAAATTATAGTAAGCATATAGCAATGGGGTTGGGGCATTCTACAAGTGTAGCTGGTGTGCCAGAGCTGAAGCCTGTGAAAGATAGGACTCAGTAAACAAAACATTTCAAAGCTCTGTTGTCACAGCACTTGAACTCTGCTTTCATGCTTTGTACTTCTGCTTCCCTGTCTCGCTGATCACACAGATATGCTAGAACAAAACAAAATAAAAAGCTCCTGTTAGAATAGTAACATAAGAGACCAACATTTGACATCGATAGCGAGCTCCCGAAAACAATACAAGTGTGCTGTACACATTTCCGTACAAAAGGATTTTGTGATACTGTTTATGCAGAAAAACTTAAGCCCTTTTTTGGTCCAAAAATCTCAACATTGCCTTCTTTCTCCTCCCTCTAATTGTCCCACCCAATGTCTTCTGGGTCTGGCGAGACCCAGATAAAGAATTAATGACTTACAACAAAAAGTGAGCCCTTCTTAACTTCTTCTCAGATCTCTCTTCTTTACCTCTTACATAACTAAGCAAATGCACTTATTTGTTGTAGACGTCTGGTAAGACAAGAAACTTCACATGAACTTTACATTATTTCCAAGCTGGCAGATGTGCAGCCCCCATGGTGCATGCAGCAAAATAAATTTCAGTTTCATAAGGGCTCCAAACACTGTCCTGCTGCTCCAGGACTTGCTCCCATTGTTGAGTCACCAATGGAACAGACTGGAACATGAGGCATGATTTACAGAGGAGGGAGAGTGATGTGAGGAGATTTCCCTTCCTTCCTCCTCCCTAGTTTTAAATGGACAAAAACATACGGGAAAAATTACTTACGTTCAAATCTCTAAAGTATTCATTGTAATCTAGGGCGTATCCCACAACAAACTTGTCTGGCACTTCAAATCCAACAACTGAAAAAGACCATAAGTCACCAGTGTGTTAGAAAGGAACTTCCTAGAGTTCACTAGAGCCTTTTACAGAGACAATCTGGAATTTTATAGATATGTCAGCATTGTAACTCATTTCTTCCACTCAAGTACCCTCAGATTCATATTCCACCTATTTTAGAATTTTAACTTACTTTGTTGATTTAGCAAACTAAAAGAAATTAAATAGCTGTATTTATTTGTCCCCACACAGCTGCAGGCTACTAGTATGTAAGAAACGAATGGAAACTCTTAAATCTATAGACAGAATATTATGAGTATAAAATTCCTTTAAAATTTCCTCTAACTTTGTAAATACATACAAAAAGTGCCAATGCTTCCTGGCACTTCCTACACGTTTGACATGCCAGTGCAGCAGGAGTGAACTGGTGAGCACAGCACAAGTCCCCCTCACAGCACAGTTCAAAAGGCAGCACCTCTGGGAGCTGGACCTGCACCCTAGGCAGGGCTGCAGGAAGGGTCATTTGCAGGTCTCAGGAACGTGGGTTGGTTTGGGTTTTTTTGGGTTTGGTTGTGATTTTTATCTCCCAGAGAAGCTGCCTAAAAAGAGAACATCAGCTCTTCCATAGATTGTCTGAACAGCTCTAGCAGGACAGTTCATCAGTGATCAGGCAGTCTCAGTCCAACCTGCCCACACACACTATAAAATTACCAAAATTAAATTATATACGATATAAAACTTCCAAATGGCTTTCTCCCCACATGCCAAAATGAAAGACTCCTGAGTCTTTCCTAAATTAAGGTGACATTTAGCATTTACTTGGCCTCACAATACAGGGATAAAATGGAGGCCCAGCCATTGTTGTCTCTTCCTTCAGAGCTCATGTGTCCTGCTCTGGACAGGTTGTTTCTATGGACAGATGGCAAAACAAGTCATCTGCTGCAAGATGCTCCAAAGGCTCCATTAGCCCAGCTAAGCCTATAATGAGATCTCAGGAATGAGGGGCTTCCTTGACTGAAGGGAACACCTCAATGAAGCTTTAAGGGATCGAAAAAACTTCAGTTTTAAAATAATATGCAACCTCAGAAAGGAGGAGGAAGAGGATGTGATTCTGCTGCTAAATTCACTCCACCTCTATAGTGAAAGTCCATGGTCCAGACTAACAGGAATTTAGCCTCTGGAACAGGCTTAAAGCACACAGCCCTTCCCAAGGCAGGAGGAGCTGTCACTCTCTTACCACTGTCTGCCGCAGACACTATTCCTTCCTTAATGGTCTTGGGACAGACAGGAAAATACAAGAAGGGAGTAATTCAGATGCCCAGACATAACCAGCCTTAACTTTTATCAGACCTGCTACCCCGTGTGGTTTTCCTACATTCCTGGGGACATCCCAACAGCATGAAGTGGCTACGTTTAGGCACCCAAATCACTCCCAAATGTGTCAAAAGGTGAATCCAGCAGATTCTGCTGACCAAATCCAACAGATTCTGCTGACCAAAGCATTTGACTACATGCAAGCTGGGAGAATTTGCACGTGAAAAGCATGTAATCTAGACCAAAAATATTGAAGTTTGGTTTTCGATATAGTAAAATGATACAAATCCTGATGAACTCCATCAAAATACATTCCAAATATTTAAATTCCCTAAATAAAAGCAAAATCTATCAAGAATCATTAGTGAAAACTTATTTGGAATATTCTTGCACTTTGTCAATACACTGATATGCTTATAAAAATGAATAACGGTTGTCAAAAAGTCACTTACAGTCTGGTCGATATCCAACACTTCGGGGAGTTCTTTTTACCAACAAACTGTCAAATAAAACCAATGTAAAACTGAAACATGGAAAAGCACCAGGTACAAATATATTATACTGTTTTGATGACAGACAAGCTGAAGTAGACCTAAATGTGCATAACTGGCAGGATAACCACACATATATTAAACTATTATTTTATTTGCAGGCACAGATGATCATGATGACAAAATCACAGCTTCCTAGAATCATGAATGATTTACAGCCTAAAGGACAACTAGCGGGACTGCAAGGAAAAGGCTTGGAGATACTGATCTGGATGCATTTCCATAGTGAAAAGTGATTTCATGGGGTTTTCTCTGTGTGTTAGGAACTTCAGGTGCACTCGCGCAACTTGCCCCGAACTGTTTTTCACTGGAAGCACTAATTATCCCCATAAAGAAAATGTAATGGGTTCTGATGATCAGGGGATACAAACCTGCTCCACTTTTCAGAATTAACAGTCAGAGGTTATAAAGAGCAGGGAGATACAGAGCAGGGGGCACTGTAGCATAGTTGGATTCCCTCCTTATTCAGTTCAGCATTTCTGCCTTAGAAGACAATCCCACAGGCCTGACACTTGTCTGGGGTACAGAGACTTTGGGAGCAAAAGAAAGGGTGGTTGATGGCTGAATGTAAATGCAGAGATCAGCATAACTCTGTGCATTGAGCACAGACCTCCTTCCCTCCTGGGTCACCCCTGAAGGTGGGGCTTCATTTGCCAGAGTTCCAGTCTCGATTTCAGACGGTTGCTGGAACTTCCAATTGGGAAACTTAACTTTCGAGAATTGGTGTAAGAATTGATCAGAGAAACCCCCAAATCATATTAGCATTAATTCACATCTCCCTCCTACAACTCCTTAACTGTCTGAGAAAAAGAAAATAAAAAAAATTTAAAAAAACCCGACAACCACCACCACCAAAAAACAAACAAAAAAAAACTAACAAAGAGGAAAAGAAATAGAAGAGAGGCAAGTGAAGTAACTAAGAACTAAGACTATCTAGAATGATCAGGTTTACCTCCTCAGGTCTTTGGTAGACCCAAATTACTGCAACAGGTTTAAACAACAGGAAACTGGTCTTTGCTCATTTGTATTATATTTATGATTTACACTGTTGTGTTGTGACACTTTTCAGTGACAGATATTTATAATCTGGCCAGGGAGAAATCCTCAACAGCCTCACCTTCAGCAGGTCACCCCCAGATTATCAGCAAGAAGAGCTGTTCTCACACATCTAACAACTGCTTTGACATTGTTATGGCAACACAAGTGATTAGATATTACACCCAGCCCTGCTTTATCTCCAATCCCCAGCAATCATTACGCTTTTATTGGAAAATACACAACCACAGCACAGCAGCGCAACAGATGCAATTGAAAAAGAAGTAGGAGGAATGTTGATATTGGTTAATAATATAATGTTATCCTCAATATTTCTTGTTGGCTGCAAGTTATTTAATTATGAAATGTTTTGAAAACTAACTGAATAAAGGTGTGACTAAGTAGAAAAGCCCAGAAGAGCATATGGCTGGCTGACTCTCACAGAATGACCTCCAAAGCTCAGCTGCACTATGCCCTCTGCACAAACATTAATATTAGTGTGCAAACTAATTTAATTCTACAATAAAGAAGGCAAACTAAAAAAAGGTCTTCACTGCACAAATATAGTGAAGTTGCAGATAGTGCCAGCAGAAACAAACAGCTTTGGAGAGATGTTATATACAGGTAAGTGACAACCACTAATTATTTTTATTGTCCTCTCCAGTAAAAGTCTACATTTATGAACTAAATTTGTGTTGAAAATGCCTCTATCAACTTCAGAGGGTATTTCTCTTAAGCTCAAAATTCTGAAATTCTTCTAGCTACTTCTAAACTTGGATTCAGTGGTAAAACACCACAAACCTTACCATAATGTGATCAGGTAAGAGATGTCCCAGGCATGCACAAGCTATCCCCTTCCGAAGTACTGAAATTCTTCCAGCAATAAGACTGAGAAGAACAGTGTTTCCAGCAACCCTAACAAATGCATGTTCTCATAACAAGCAAAAGTGGTTTTGGAGTTTAATTTAGTACTAAACTTCAACAGATTGCATCATATATGACTGCTGCAGGAATGTTTCCTCCTGTTTTTCTCTTCCATGGAAATGTATTCTACATTTGGTTTTGTTTGTTGGTTTGGGTTTTTTTTTACACTGTGTGACCTTCTTAAGGTGAAAAACAGCACAAATAATCATTAAGAATTTACCTGGCTACTTTCACCATCTTTGGATTGTACTGCTTAAGTAGAGACAGCAACGTTTTCATTGTTTTACCGGTATCAATTATATCCTGAAAATAAAAAACTCATGTCAGACAGAATATTAAACACATCAGAGTAGCATTTTCAAGTTTCTACCACAGGAATTGCTCATTCACAGGAGCATGAAAATATGGCAAACTACTGTTTGTAAAAATGCCCATAAAAATGCCTGTAGCCAAATATAGGTGACACGTAACCCCTGCTGTGCTTATGCAACCACACTGAGTAACGTGATCACACACAGGAGTTATTAATTAATAACACACGAGAGTTATTAATAACAGGAGTTCTTAATTGCTGTGGATAACTGTGGCTTTGAAAGCAGTTGCTGAACCAGCAGTTACTGCAATGACCTTCTTGGCTCCTTCTGGAGATTTTATGGCTTGTGGTCCTTGCAGCCATGAGACGAAGTTTAATTTGAGTATGGTACAAGTAAGATTAGTCTTGCTGTGGAGCTCAGTTACAGACAGATGTATCCAACAGAAAGAAAAGCAAGAAGGGAAAACAGGCAGAACAACCCATTATTGCAATTGGAGGAATGTAATGCACATTACAGATTCAAGAAATAGCTGGGAAAATTGCACTGGGAATATCTGGGTGCAGTTTTAAAGTCTAAAACACACTAAAATTTTAATCACGCACCATTTTAATCCCATCTACTGCACATATAAGCAGAAAAAAATAATATATGTCTTATAACTGAGGCATCAGAAGTAGATTTATCATTTGGACTGAAACAATCATAGGATCTTTAGGGGCACAGTCCTTACCCTGGCCTGAAATAAAGTCTATTTGAAGTGAAGGAGGCAGATAGCACAGAAGCAGCAATATCCTGATTTCAGCTTATTTCCCTATGACTCCCAATTAAAACAAAAATCAAACAACAAATTCAACAGAGCATTCATCAGCAATACCATTACCACTTAATGCTTTTAATCATGGTTATAAACTCAAGAGAACTTAAAGACATACATGCATATAGATAAAAATCAAAGTTGGTAAATAAACAGAAGTAGCTACTTCCAAAATCCAAGGGAAAACCAGAACTTATTACTGATTTTGTGTTGTATGATTAGCTGCTTATTGGAGGTGAAGTTCTATTTTGTACAGATTTTTTTTGACATTAAAGGGATGCAGTAGAGAAAAGCCTTGTGCTCTGGTGCACAAGACATTAAGCCCACAATAAATGTGCATTTTTATTGTTTGACAGTTAAAATGGTGATTGATAAAAGGGTTCATATTTGACAGTGCATAAGATGAGTCATTGGATAGATGATTCACTGAACAAATGATAAACTAACCTAATCTGGGGCTTACATTCATCTGAAATGGAGCAGATACCTAATTAAACATATCTGCCTATCTGAAGCAAAATGTACTTCAAAGGACACCACTGGTCACACAATGACTGCTGTATCATACTATTTTGGTAGGAGTTTTGGAACTGAATGTGCTTCCTGTGGAATAACATAACCTTCTCAAATTAGGAAAATAATACATAAAAGCCACATTTGACGAGAAGAAACATCCTTCCCTTTGGCTGCTGAATCAGTTGCCATAGCTGTTTCTTTCCTTACAAACATGCCATTTCCATTATTTGGAGACTTAACACACTATTAGATTGCACATCCACTTCTCCTGTCTACTGCTGCTGCTTCCCTACCCTGAAACTGTCAATTGTACTCAAGGAAAGTGATATTGGCTGAACATGAGCAACGCTGTTCATCAAGAAAGAGGTATGAAAGCAAGAATTAAACAACAATACCTGCTAGGCAATCAAACTGGGCTATACTGTACCTGGAACCATGACGAGACAGAGGAATGGGAATTTAGCAACTACAAAATGCTCATTAAGAATTAGTGTTCTCAATGTCACTACTTGCTAAATAAATGACACACAGAGACACTGGGCTGAGATCTGTTTTTCGCATATTTTAGGATACTCATACCAGGAACCTCTTTCTACCTCTGCAGTTTGGTTTCATAGCTTGCTATGATAAACCCAGGCCAATAATAAATTTCATATTGGTTTGTTCAGGCTACTTTTTAAAAGAAAAAAAGGGGGGAACAAAAGACATTTTAGAATTGACAAAATCCCAGAAAACTGAAAGCAAATGCAAACAGCTTTAGATGGTTATTTTCCTTGTTAAATATAGCACTTGAACGCAATTTGAGAATTCAAAACATGGCTTAGTTCAAAGTCAGAGACCACTTGCAAAATTCAGGCCTGAAATCAGAAGCTGGAAGACTTGAAGCCAGAAACTGTAGGTCTTCTGGCTTAGAAAACAACTTCTAATAGAACTCTTTAACCACTGACACATTAGAACTGCAAAGTGAAACATAATACTTACTTCTACAATCAAAACATTCTGGTAGGAAGAAAAAGAAAAAAAGAAAAGGAAGAGTCCATTAATATCTAGACAACATACAATTTCTTATTAATCTCTATAACCTGTTAATTTTCAATGCAGTTAAATATTTGTACCACTATTTATGTATGTTTATATACATATGTTTACACAATTTGTAGCAGCAAATTCTTTGTAGTCAACATTTGTGATGCTTTAATAACAATTACCTGAGATTCTCTTCAACAGCTCCCACTGAGTACAAAGTGGTCTTTACATTATTCAGACTTTGAAAATTCCAGATATATGCAAAAGAGATCAAAACAGAGTCTACACAAGTCATATTCTTCTGAAGCAAACAGTGTCCTACTACACAGACACGTACAGTTCTGTCATACCTGCATCCTTTACACTGAACTGAGACATACATGTCTTAAAGATCACATGTGTAAAGAGAAGGGGAAAGTGCTGTGTTCTGACAGAGCAGGAGGCAGTGATGCTTTAACCCCTGACATCTGGCTCAATGATCTCCATTGAATCACTGGAGAAAAGCAGATTCCCAATTTACATTCTCCCATTTCCTTCTCTTGTCACTGCCTGTCACAGGAACTACCACTACTTCACTGGAACACCAATATGGCAAATAAATAACACCAGTCTCTTTCAAAGGTAGTTTGTAGACAACAGCCTACACAAGATTCTTCTCAGGCATTGCAGAAAAACAAATCTAAGACTTTGCTGATACCAAAGACAGCGAACAGAGGATTTTTTAAGTTCAGACTAAACTGATGGCTTTGATGGGGCTTATCCACTCTCCGAGTACACAGTGGTGAATATTTAAAGGAAACATTTCCATTTTTTAAACCTATAATCTTCACATACTAAAAGAGCAGCCTTAAAATCATGCAGGTATGTGGGTTCTTTAGTGGTTTGTTTGTTTACTTGCTTTTAAACATACAAAGAGTCATACCTTTCCGGTCAAGGTTGAGAGGTCATCTCCCCCAATGACTTTGATATCTCCAGTTGACTGATCATTCTAAGAAAGAGAAGGGTGAACATTACCATTACCAGAATAAAACTAATTATTTCCTTGCAGTAAACGTCAAACTAATTTTTTTCTTGCAGCAAATGTCAAAATTGCAAAGCACATAACCAGTGAATGTTAATGCTTTCAAAAACAGCATCTCTTTATTAACTAAGAAATTACAAGTGATCAACTTCAAAGATGGTATTTCAGATTAAAGACTGTTTGACAAGAGATTTGCATCAGTGCAGGCACCATCTCTCATCTGTGACCATTACATATACATACGTATCTAAAAAGCTAGGATTTGCTATGCATTCCCTACAGATATGGAAAGAGGACAAAAAGCAGTTTGTTTTCCAAGCTGCATGCTGCCATATAGCTGGTAATTTACATTTTAAACTTTAATGCCTTAGAAAAGCTTACTCTGAATAAGAATAAGCAATCATAAGAAGAATAGCCAGCAAACAAGGCACAGATTACTATTGAGAACTATAAGCTACAAAAATAGCCAGAAAAGCTTATGCTTGCCTAGTTTACAGCAAATATTGGTAACAGATCAAATTACTTCTTATAGCAATGGAACAGCAACACAAGTACACCATCACTACAACAGAGCATTTTGCTTCAGCAAAACTAAACTGTGAAAAAAACGTAAATGAACTGTTACACAGGAAAGATAAAAACAGCTGCTAGAAGTGCTTCACAAATCTTTGCAGTTTATTAAAGTCACTCAAATGACTTTAAACCTTGACAGTGTCTCACGGGTCATATTAAATGCCTATGCAGGTGCTGAGTTCCTGAGCAATGAAAGGGTGAAAAAACAGTTAAAGATTTCTGACACCAGTTGTAACCAGATTTCCACTGGCAAGATCCTTGTTTAATAATTAAGCAATGTTTTAGTTATCTTCAGGAGCCTTATTTCCCAGTTCAGTACTGGTAAGACTTTAATGCTTCGTGGTTTAACACATAAGAGTTTTAGTGTTTAGATCTGTTTTCACTGCCTCCCTGTTGTCACTGCTGGAAAACAATAATGCTTTACAAGATCATAACTCCTGACTCAAGTGACTCCAAGATCACCTTTTAAAAAGGCATTTTAAGTTCCTTACAGCATCTGCTATAAGGCTTGGTTGGCAGAGACCTTTCAGAATACTGCTGTGACCAGTCTAACCAGAGTTTACCATGTACTCCACTGAAAATCCCTATTTTTCCAAGTGACAGTACAACACATCCACTGTCTTTTGGCTGCCCTTCATGACTATATAAGCAACATTTGCTCATTTCCATGTTTAAATGCAGTAGACTGGTGAAAAGCCATTCTTCCTGTAACACAAACAGAATGAACTGTTTGTCAGGAATACTGAGAGCTGGATCTGTTCACAAACACTATCTTTCCATTTCTTAACAGCTTGCCAGATCATTAAAATTCATCTGTAAGGACTCAGAAAACTGGAGTTACGAGCAAAGTTTAATCACAGCTTGATCAAGTCAGTATTCTTAGAAAATTATTTTTGGGTGCAGAACAGTATGAACTTTGCATTGCAACACAAAAACCCATTGCAACACAACCCCCATATGCTTGTAAATATTAAACGATCGATTTGAAACAAGAATAGAACCTGAATTACATCAATTACAGAACCATTACAAAAGTTCAGCTGCTTTATTTACACGACCAGGGTATTTTTAACATCTCTTATCCTGTCTGTAGAGGCAGGTAGGATGATCTAGTAATCATATCCAGAGACAGTGACAAGAGAGTCGAAAGCTCCACTTCCAACTGTCCATTACAGCTTGTGATGGCTTTCACATCACTAAACACAAATCTGTCCATCTAGTAAAGCACAGGTCAAAACTACAGAGCAGATTTAGCATTACAACACTATTTCTGATGGAAGACCCAGTCAAGCTGCTACATACATGTCCATGTTAGGACATTCTTATCCACTCTAAAGGACCTAAGATTGGATATTAATAACCACCTAAGAGAGTCTACAAAAATGAAGTGCTTGTAAATACTGCAGTGGAGGCATCAGGTAACAGGAGCTCCTAACTCATCTAGGCTAAGAAAACATTCTTTTATAGAATTGGCTGACAAAACCAAAAACCCTGAAGCCAACACCTCAAGGAAAACATTCTACTTAGACAACTTTCCGTCTGGCTTTTTCTGCTTCTCTCTTCATCCACATGTTTTTACTACAAAAAGAGGCTTTTAATTTCCATAAAACTTACTTGGTTGCTCACTCCCCTATTAATAACAAGGCACTGTAGTTCTGGGGGGTAGTAAACAAAAGCAGTTGTAGTAAAGAAATAAACTGAAACATGCCTGAAACACCAGTAAAAAGGCAGCCTTGCTTTTTAACAGAGGCTTTTTTTCAGGTGTTTCAAACCATTTCTCCAATATTTTTTTTCCAAGTTAGAAAGTAGAGAGTGTGAAAGGGTGTAGTCTTTACATTGTTTGTTTAAACAAACTAAGTAAGCTATTGGAAGTGTTCCTTGGGGAAAGCAGAAGATACATACAACTGCCTGTCCCAGGGTTACAAAAAAAAGAAGGTGTGAGCCATCATTTCCTATTCTTTAACCTATTATCCTGTAATAGAGTTTTCTGTGTTTTTTACAGGCAGAATATATGGGCATGTGGGGGCTTCATAGTTAAGCAGACTGGTGGCAGGAGCCTCCTCTTTTGGGAGGAATGGAAGGAAAGAGGCTCAAACTGCTGCTCTCTAACTGACTTTAATACCGTGCACAAGCACAAAGTGCCTTGTGAGATACAACCAAAGGCTGGCACAAACCCTTCTGCCCAGCCTTGCCTTCTCGTTAAAGTACATAACTAAATTACTGCCTCATGTTCTGCAAACATGACTGTGGTCTCCAGGTAACCCCTGGACAGGTTGTGGTGTGTGTGCCTCGGGCAGCTGGGGCTGCTTGTCTGCACAGACTGGACCAAAGCCTCACACAGTTCTGGGTTTTGCTGTGACACATTAATAGATCACAATAACTCCATCTCTGGGTTCCACAGTTTAATGAAACAAAGGATAAGTTTCCAAGTCAGTTATCTCCATTTTCTAATGCTTTCTGCACTCCTCTACAACTGCAACAAGTAACTCACAGTGCTGACTTCAATGCCAAGTTGCTGATACAGAACTAACTGTGAAACAATGTATTGAAACACTCTAAACTAAAACCAAAAAATGTCATTAATTCCACGTTACAGGTGGTCTTAGGGAACACATCATAAATTTCTGAAATCCCAAAAACATGAGACTTGGCTGTCAGAAAGTCAGGAATCATACAGTGCTGACATATATCTGCTTCTTCCTCTGATCTGCACAACACAACCTTGTGCTTCCTTCTATAAAACTTGCAAGTTACCTCATTTTGCAGAATGTTCACTTTCTCTATAAAGTTGTGTTCAGAATTAAAAGATTCTCCCAAAAAATGTAAACCCAGGGCAACCCTAGATGCCTAGTCTTGAAAAGGTGGTACAACACTCAGGGGCCACTAATCATAATTCTAAGTTTATGTATCTAGTATTTCTTCAAGGCTAAATACAACTACTTTGACTCATTGTTTGGTTGAGCCAAACAAAAGATGGGATAGGGAACTTGGGTATAACAGTTTTTGCAGCTTTCAAATCATCCTGTTCAACGATGAGGTCTGGTCCACATAATTCCTAGAATTAAATCATAGTTGCAGGAGAATCCTCTGTATTAGTCTTGAGGCACAGCTTTAGAGATGGGGTAGAGGTCTGAAAGGAAATTGGTGAACAAGTAAAGGACATGAACAAATAAAGGACTCTCTACTCTACAAGGATTTTACTGGGCTGAGGAGATACCAAGGTCTAAAAGAAAACGCATTACATAATAAGGTAGAGAAAGAGTAAATTAGCCTATGACTCTTAGTTCCCTTGATTATTTGTTTAATATTAGCACATTCTGGAAGTAACAATATTAAATCACCTCTGTTAATTTCTAGTCAAACAGATAAAAATTGCACAGCACTGCACAGATACTTACGCAGTAACTCTTCAACCTAATGAAGTCGACAGTCATGGGGATTGATTTGTCACTGTTTCTGTTCAGGGCTTTGATGTAGTCTAATAAATCAGCAAAAAATTTATAGCCACCCTTCAGTACACAGAGTGCCACAATGTGGTGTCCTCCCATGCCCTTCATAATTTCTCGTGCCAGTCTCTCCGTCCTAAACAAAACCAAAGAAGAGTGAGCTGTCAAAACATTTCATTTGTTTACCATAGCAGCAGTGTTTTGTACTGAGAACAGCAGCAAACAGGGGCATTGAACTTGTTTGCTGCATATGTTCGCTCAAAAATATTTGTCTACCACTTCAGTCACTTTTACACTACTGGTCAACTAAGTTTTGCTGTTCAAGGTTAATCCAACAATAGTGCTGCCAAAGGACCTTGTTTTCATATTTCACACTCAGCCAAAGCAAATTTTAACCCCTTGAAACTGTTTGGTTGTCAAATATGAGACACAAAGGTGTGTTTCTCTTTCCAAAGACAGGTTCAGCTTCCATGCAAAGAGCAGCATAACACAACCCAAAGGCAGCACCCCTTACTGAGGAGCAAGAAAAGTTTCAAATTTTAAACTAAAGAGTTTATTTGCCAAGTCAGAATGCCAGAAACTTGTCCTGAATGCAGAATACAATACCAACAATGCAGAGCAAGAGAACACTGCACTGTTTTTCTGCAATCATTGTCTCTAAATTTATCTTGCAATTTATTTTAGAAAGCATGGTCTGCATTTATTGTGTGCCAGCTGACAGCAGGTTTCTCAGAGAAAGCCAACCATTATAAACTTTATGTCAGTTCCTTAATGACAAGTATTTTGTCCAATTTTTTGCTCTATATGGACTTCCAGTGCAAAGTTTTTACAATAATTAAAAATAAAATTTTTTTAAAGGGATGTTCATTGTATCTAGTCAAACAGGACCATGCAAAATCTAGATGCATTCCTAGTCAAAAGATCTCCTGGAAGATCCCCCCAGTGCCACTCATAAATGGCTTAAATTCACCAAATTTGTTGTTCATTCTCTTAAAGGGAATTAGCAACTATCAAACACAAAATAAAACAAAAATGCCTCGTAGGCTTATGCACTAATTTCTGATCACACAAGATAAAACTTCACAGCACATTACAGATTTCAGTAACCACAGAAGCAATAGATTTATATTTGTGGAGGATAATGTCTCTCCCAGAAGGTAGGAGAAAGTAAGATGTTATTTACCTACCACATGAACATGAGGAAGTTTAAGACGACAAGATTAATAATTTACTTTTATTAATATCTTATGGAAATTCAGGAGGCTATAATTGTTTTCAGACTCAACTGGTACAACCAAACGTCTTCTAATTACATTTTAAGAAGGTAAAACATCAGAGGAACACTGGAAATAAAGTCATAGGTTGCTACCTACCACAACATTTTGCTTGAGAATTATGACCAATTTTCAAACAATAGCATGACTGAAAATGTACAAACTCTCAGAAGCCAAAAAAAGAGAGTTAATTAGCACTTGCACGTTCTAGTCTCTAATTAAATGTAATCTATTTAGACAGTCACTAGGCAGCAAAATTATCACTGGAAAATTGTTTATTCCTGCGTCATGGAATCAGTGTACTGTCTGAAGTCAAACAAACCTGTCCATGATGAGCCCATGAGGAATATAGACTTTTTCCAAATCATCTGCATAATGCTTAGGTATGCAGAACAAATCCAGGTCGTAGCCTTGCTCATCATCACCAATCTGAAAAGGAAATAAGGTGAGATTTCTAAAGAGCCTTATATAAAGTCCGTGGTGAGACTCTGCGTTATTCAGTAAAAACTATCAAACCCACAACACTCATCAGCCTCTCTGAAAACATCACTCACACTGAACACAAACAAAGTGTAATCTAACAGCTCACAAGGGTTACTTGAAATACCACGAGTTGTTACGCAAAGCCCAAGTCCCACAACATTCTCCTGCACCGGAGAGCGGGAAAGTGAAGGTACTGCACCTGAATGAAACTCTATATTCCATTAAAAAATTTACCAAGGAGCTTTTTAACCTCTTTGATTTTCCTAATGTAATGCAAAACCTGCATTTGCAATTAAGCAAGCAGAGGTTCTGACATGGACACCTTCCAAATCTCCAAAACACCCGATCACAACAAAACACATGAGCCAGTGTTCAGGACAAGACAAGACAGCTACGTGAGCACGGCAAGTTATGATGCTGAGAAGCAAGTCTTCTCTGACCACCACCTCCAAAACAGGGAGGTTCAAGATCTTTCAGAATCTGAAATTAAAGCCTTCAGCAACCTGTTCCACATGGACAAACAGCCTGCAACACTGGGAAGTGCATGTTAATTAGGACAAGGGATTAGTAAATGTATATAATGATACCAAACACTGCTGAGGCTCAAGGCACATTGTCACATCAGGCAGAGCCTTCCCTGAACCTTAACCCTGCTGCAGCTTGAAAATGACAATGTGTTTTTTTAATTCCTTCACTCTCTGGTTATGCAGCTGAGTACCAGGACGAGAAAAAGAATTGCAGGGGCAAAACAGAAGCTTGTCACTGACAGTTCACCAGGGCGGGCATTTTAAGTATCCATTTTGGTACAGCTACTTTTGCAGGACTCAATCTTATTTCAGTGCCCGTGCAAGCACTTACCTGGCCAGTGATCAGCCAGCTGTTTACATGGGGTTTTGTTGTGTAACCCCTAATGAGTATTTTACCTGGGGAATTTCATTAGTATTTCAAACTCCCATCCAAAACTGACCCTGTGTGAGCTGCACACACACATACGGCTCGGGCATGGAGTCCCTGCTCTGGGTCCCTGCAGACCACAGCAGGCTGCTATTTTAAGAAATAAAGCAGGTCCCTCCCAAAACTCATGGTATTTTCCTGTGGTTCAGAACCAACGTTGTATCGAGCATGTCTACTAAACCTTCCTTTCTGCATCTGACAGGGAATGGGCCCTTCCTACAGGTTTTATCAGGGTTTTTTTATGGACTGCAGGGATTTACAGTCGCAACCTCGCGGCCGGCACAGCTCCCGGCCACCAGACACCGCACGCACTTCATCAGCACCGGCACCGGCTTTAAAAAGATTAATAAAAACGAGCACGTAAGCGCCTTAGCAGATGCGGCGGTAACGCAAAAAAATATAAAGAACATCCCCCGGATGCTGCTCCTCCGGCAGCAGCCCCGGCTCACACACACGTGGGGTCCTCCCGACCGGAGCCTCCCGCACGCCGCGAACAGCAACAGGAATAGGAAGTTGTGCAGCCCTGGGGGAAGTTCATCCACCTTCGCTCCAGAGGCGCCAATGCCGGCTGTGCCCGCCGCCCCCGGGCTCCGAGTCCCCGGGATCCCACCCCGAGGGGACCCCGCGGCCCGCCGCGGGAAGGGACGCGCCCGGCCCGGGCAGCGAGGGCAGGGACGGGCAGCCCGGGCCGGCGCTGGCAGCGAGGCCGGGGCTGCCTCAAGGTGACTCCGGGGAGCGGCGGCGCTCAGGGACGCGACAGACGACACACGACACGACAGCACGGGACACGACACACCACACGACGCGGCACCCCCGCGGTCCCTCACAGATCTCCGCATTCCGGGCGGCAGGCGGGATCCCCCTCGTCGGCCGGCGGGGCACAGCGGCCCCGGCATCGCCCGCATCGCCCCGTCCCGCCGCACTCACCACGATGCAGGGGCTGGGGGTCGCCATGGAGCGCGGCCCGCCGGCGGCGGCTGCGGGCGGCTCGGAGCAGCGGCGCAGAGGCGCTCGGAGCGGTGGTGGCGGGCAGGGGAGCGGGAGCACCGCGCCGCAGCGGCCCCGGCGCCGCCTCCGCGCCCTCCGCGCTCCCCGCCCTCAACATGGGCCGCGTGCAGCCCGCCGCCTCGGCGTGGCCGTGCGGCCGCCCCGCTGCCCCCGGGGAAGAGCGGGACAGGGGGAGCCCCTCGCCGGACGGGGCCCTCGGCGGGGCTGTGCCTTCCCAGCGGGTGCGGGTGTCCCCCCGCGCCGTCCCACATCCCCTCTCTGGGGTCTTCAGAGTTGGCCCTCCTCTCCACACACCGCGATGTCGAGGTGTTCCCCGTCCTCTCAGGACACCATGGGAGGGTGGCAGTGTCCAGTTCTGGGCCTCTTAATTCGGGAAGGACATTGAGGTGCTGGAGCGGGTCCAGAGAATGGCAACGGAGCTGGTGAAGGGGCTGGAGCACAAGTGTGATGAAGAGCAGCCGAAGGAGCTGGGGGTGTTCAGCCTGGAGAGGAGGAGGCTCAGTGGGGACCCTACAACTCCCTGACGGGAGGGTGTAGCCAGATGGGGGTCGGGCTCTTCTCCCAGGCAACCAGCGATAGGACAAGGGGACGCACTCTTAACCTGGGGGAGGTTTTGGTTGGAAATCAGGAAGAATTTCTTCACAGAAAGGGTGATTAGACACTGGAATGGGCTGCCCGGGGAGGTGGTGGAGTCACCATCCCTGGTTAAGAAAAGACCACTTGGAGCCCTGGTCTAGTTGACACGGTGGGGTTTGGTCGTAGGTTGGACTTGATCATCTCAGAGGTCTTTTCCAATGTAACTGAGTCTGTGATTCTGTGACTCCCATGCCCATGGGAACAGGGCTGGTAACTGCTGTCATTCCAGAACCAAGGACAGGGATGTGCATCCCTCGGGTGTTCATGTCCATGAAGGGGCTCCACAAACAGACTCCCCATGCCCAGCAGGAACACTCCTCTTCTGCCAAGTGCTGCCCAGGCTCCTCTCCATCACCAGGGAAGGCCTGTCCTCCACTGCAGCTTTATGCACCTTGAAGGAGGAAAGAAATGGGAATGTTTGCATTCCTCCATGTCTTCCTGTCAATCACAGGATTCGGTAGGGTCTCATTCTCCCCAAGTAGAAGAAATCCAACCCCCCAGCAAAGGCAGCTGAGGGCATGAGGAAAGTACCTCTAAATACCCAACAGACCATGGCACTGGTAGGTTCTGGGGTATTGGAGCAGTGCCAGCTGTCAGGGCCCTGGGCAGGGCAGGGCACTCAAACAAGCCGGCAGTGTCGTGTCAGGACATTTGTGATAACCAACTGTCATGCTCCAGGCCTCCAGCAGCTGATCATTTGCCAGGGTCAAATATACATAAGTCATATATTGTGGGATTTTTCTCCTCTGCTTCTCTTTGCAGGGTTAGTGTGCTCACAGCACATGGCTCTGACATGGTGCAGGGAACCCTTTGCAGAGGCCACTCCACATCTGACAGAGCAGGGAACTGACTTAAAAGTGAGCCTCAGTTGGTGATAGCTGTGCCTTTTGACCAGGCAAAGACAGTAGTGACAGGTACCACTTTCCCACACACAATGGGACCTCCCTGCATGGGGTGGATAGAAGATCATTTTCCTTTTGCTGTAAGATAAGGCTGAATTGTGCCTGTAGATACTGTCCGTATCTGTAATTGTCTGAATGAAAAATCTGATCCTGAGGTAAAATAATAGGAAAGCATGGAAAGGCCTGGATAACTCCAGTGGTCTCAAATGGGAGAAAGAAGAAAAAAAAAGCATTGACTTTTCCTGTAGGTCTGGAGTAAGGACAATGCAACAGTGCAAATGGAAATTTGTGGTTTCTTATACTATGTATCAGCTGAAGACTTTCCCCTTCTTTCTCTAATGGATGGAAACCAAGTTTTATTTTATGCTGCATAAAATCTTTGTGTCAAGAAAAGGATAATAATTCTTTAAAATAACTTTATTTATAAAGAGCTGTAGCAATCACCCCGATACATACCTACCATTATTGCTGTCAGCTCAGAAAATACAATGCAATCAATGTAATTGCTCCTTTGTATGAAACAAACAATTTGAGCACATTTTAACTAAGCAAATGGGCATGATCCCTACTGAATGCTGCATTGTTGCAGCAAGGTGTTCAGCTACAGTCTGGGAGGGTTAACTCTGGAGTGGGAGGAAGGAGCCTTTATCAAATTGCCTGGAGCAGCAGAATGAAACGCCCTGCAGCTCAGGGATATCAGGAACACATCATAGCTGGATCAATTCCAGAAGGCCAGGAAGAACAGCAGCTGCCCTGTCAAGTCCAGGGAGAGCCTGACATTAGTGGGCAGTGGGCAGTGTCTATCGAGAGACTCTGCAACCACAGAAGTGTTTCAGGATCCAATTTTATTTTAGTTACTGAAGACATTTCTCATTAATGATCAACATCAATTTCTGCTATTAAAAGTAGCATCCAACAGCATCTTTCTGATGGCAGGGAGGAGTTGTTGGCTTGCCTTCTGTGCAGTTTCTCCCCAGCAGACAAAACCATTAGTCCTGTTTTGCCCTTCTGAGTGAGCAATTTCTTTGTTCCTCCTGCCAAATAGCACATTCCTGGATCCAAAGCATTCCCGGTCTTGCTGGCACCCCGTTATGGAGGGAAAAACAGATTTACAAAAGCAGAAATATTTGCTGATATTACTGGAAGTTGGTTAGCTGAGATCAGCACCAGATTTAGTAGATGACCAGTTTTGTTCTTGCTGGTACAGGGCCACTGAGGTTTGCAGTGCAGGGTGAGGGGGCTCAGACGTATCTGGGAGCTGCACATTTTCTGGCTAGATGATACATAAGGTGGGAAAGCCAGTGTTCTGATTTCTCTGGTATGCATAGCTTCTTACAAGGCAAAATAATTTAATAAATGTGTTTTGTGTCTGAGTAGATTCTTGATTTCATAATTATTTTGTTCTCTGTTGCCAGCCAGGCGTATCTCAGTGCTCAGGCCCAGTGAACCATGGCCTCTGTGAGCACCAGTTGTAAATAACTTTGTTTACAGACTTTTAGAAACCTTTCCTGGCAACCACATGTTCCCCCCAGTGGTGGGGTACCTGGGGGTAATAACTGAGCAGTCATTCTTTGGAAGCACCTGAAATAGTGTCCTCTGGGTCAGCTCTTCAGGTCAGTGCCCATTTACCAATCCCCCTCTTCCCCCCATTTTTCCCTCCCAGCTTTGCCATTGTTGCTGGCTGACTCAGAGGGAATTAGCAGAATTTATCTGCTGGTTTTGTTTCACAAAACAAGTCTTCTAAAAAAGCAAAGAGCACAAAAAAATCTTCAGCAGATTAACTACTGAGACCAGCATAACTCCCTTGTGACCAGAAAATTTGTCTGTGGAGACAGAACAGGGAAAAATGGAGAATTCAAGGTACATTAACCCAGTCCTGAGATGAGCACCACCATTTTTAGTCAAGAGGAAAAACAAGAAGGAATATCTCATTAGATTATATAGAGAGCATTCTCCAAAATGTGAATTTAGCACACAAGCATCCCATCTACTGCATGGCTACAGAGAGATCTCTCCACTCTGACTAGTAATTATAATAGCCTATAATTATTTTTCTAGCCAAATGTTTCAAATGGGAGAGGAAGCCAGATGTACAAAAACATCATTTAAAAAGAGACACACCCTTCCTAAGAAATAGGGAATAGATGTTGTTTATTGCAAAATACCTATTAAAATAATGTTATTCCTGTTCTCCGTCTTGTTGACTCTTGTAGAAATGTGTCATCAAAGTGATTCTCAGTGGTGACAGTCTCCATGGATTTTGGAAAGTGGTGCCTATCTACGTATTTGTTTCAAGACTGGGATTTCCTGGATGATGAGAGTTTACCAAGATCTCTCTCCCTGCTCGGCTAATAAAGGACAATTTACTTACCAAAAGTAAAATAAGCAAAACCTCTGAACCAATGTACTTCTCTGTAGCTGTAGATAACTTCCTTTTTCACTAAAAAGGTTTTCATACTCCAGGACAGGGGTTGGGGGAATTACAGACATTTTGCTCTTTATTCAGTAGCACAAGGAACGGTCAGTGGCACAAGAATTACAAAAAACACTCCAGTGGTTGCTTATCACAGAATCTCAAGCATCCTGAGAACCACCAGCCTGGATTGCTGCACTTTGGGGCCGGTATTTATGGCATTTATCAGCTTTGGTTTGCAAACATCCGTTGTTCAGAATTATCCCAGTGGTGCCGGCTCAGCAGGACCAGACACGCGACGGTGTCTGTCACAACACCGCGGCGAGGCCGGCGCTTGGCACCCCACACCACAGACACACGGGGTCCTGCCCGGCGGGATTCACCCGGTGCCAGCCGGCTGCTAAGGGCCAGCTCGCCTAAGGGCCTGCAGGAATTTAAACAAGGATTATCTTAAAATGGTAGAAAACAAGCAAAGGCGGATCCCATCACTGAGGCAGAGCACGGCATAGGCTCAGTGCTGCCAACCCTGAAGCACAGTCCTGTGCCCATGATTTTTAGTAGCCCAAGCCCCATGGCTGTGACTGAGCATGTGGGGTGCCCACCTTCCCCCCAACAGCTCTGAGGTCTGTGCTTGCTCCTCTTCCTGCTCAGCAGGGACCTTGTTCCCTGGGCACAGGAGAGCTGTGGGAAGTGGCTTGGACAGAGAAGGCGGCACACCTGAAATCCAGAGACCCACCCAAAGGACATTGTGTTTGTTTGAACCTGTTCTGACACAAAGGTTGAAGCCTGAGGAACATAACTACCAGAAAGGTATTAAGGTATTTTTCTTTTTTTTTTTTTTTTTTTTTGGAAATAGCAGTTTTTCAAGCTCCACTTGACTCACTGAACAATGTGGCCTGATGGAGTCACTGACTGAGTTGGTAAGAAAAGAGGGTTCTTTCAACAAGACCACAGCTCAGTTCCTGCTGCAGAGCTGCCTCCAGAGCTGCTGCACCAACCCTCTGCCGTGTGTGCACCATCCCTGCTGCCACACGAGG